GTTTACCTGAGATCATTTCAAGCTTAAAAATTCTACAATTCTCTGTATTTGCCTTATATATTCCTATATATAAAGAAAATCATTTTTATGCTTGTCAATTCAGTGTTCTATGCAAAATCAGAGATTGATTCCAAAGTTTTATAAATATTGTTTATAGAAATACCAAAGGGGAGATTCTGTAAATTCTCATTCACTTTTCTGGAAAGGATGCTACCAATTGGTGATAGGCAGTGTATAAATAAAACCAAAGGTCACCATAACTACAGGAGAGTGGCATATCAGGAAGAGATTTTCCAGCCCTAGACTTATTATTCCTATTATATCTGAAGCAGACAGTACCACTTCATTTGTACTGTGTGGCAGGAAGCCAAATATTTTTCTTATTCCTAAGCTTTTATAACTTCTCTAGCCTAGTGCTCTTTGTTCATTCAACACGCATTTATTCCATCCCTTTTGTTCAGAGCACTGGAGAAGTTACGGTGTCTGCCCTCACAAAGGTTTTGATCTAGTAGGGGGACAAGGCCAAAATACAGAAAGTTATAACATATGTTGAATTTAAAGTGCATTAAAGTGCCACAGGACCAGGTACTTTGTGAGGTCTGAACAAAGGCTGTAACTTCACAGGAGGATATGTTCTTCTCCCCATGATGATTTTCCTTTTCAGTTCTCCTTTGGCTTCCAGAACTAGAGTATTTTAAATCAGCCTTTGAAATGATAGTTTACCAGGATGTAGTCCTTGCCATATACAGAGTGCTTTATGTCCATTGTTTCATTTGATCTTCATAACAGTCCCATGAAGAAGGCACAGCAAGGATAATCATGCCCACTTTGCAGAAGAGAAAACTGAGGGTCAGAAAGATTAAATGGATTGCTCAAAATCAAATAGCTTGGGAGGGCAGGATTTTTATGTTCAATTCCTTTCTAGCTCAGTGAAGAAACAAAGAATTACCATCAACTCCCAAAGTTGATTTTAAAGTATTTCTTTGAATTACAGAACACCATCACTGCCTGCTACCAAATTATTCTTTTATTCACAATTTATTATCTTCTCTTTGAGTTAGATCCTGGGATAAATGTGTGGTTATCCAAGGTCTTGTGCACTTTGACTAGTGTAAAAAGTTTGTTTTGCTCCTTGAAAGTCATTGAGTGCATTTTTGCCCCAGTGGTACAGAGAATACATCTGAATAATGAAGGTATGGACTTTGTTTTTTCTCGTCATTTAGGATTCTGCCACATTGGACATGAGGGGATTAGGCCAAGTCCTCCCAGCACATCTTATGGAAGAGAGGTTGATACGGCAGCAGCAGGAAATGGAAGAAGATCAGCGTTGGCTTGAGAAGGAAGAGAGATTTTTGGTAATTGCATTCAGAGAACCATACATCTCACAACTGTGAAAACCCTGCTCAACAATAATAGATTCTTACATTTTGTAAGGACCTCTGGTGCTTGGCCCCAGAAAGCTGAACTGAGAGTAACAGGTAGAAATTGCAGACTACCTCTCTGAGGAAGGAAATGCTTCCTAAAACTTCAAGTTGCCAACAAGTGCCTTGGAAAATAGTGGTTTAGTCATCACCGGAGGTCTTCAGTCTGGCTGAATGACCATTTTTCATGGGCATTGTAGTGGGGCTTCCTTTTCAAGTGTAATAAAGGACCTCTGAGATTCTGTGAGGCTTAGTAATGCAACAGAACAGTTCAGAACAGATCTAATCCCACTTCTACATGACAGCCATGCACGTATTTGAAGAGGACTCTCTGTATTACTTAGGTGCTCTTTTCTCCAAGCTAAACAGTCCCACTTCTTTCATTTATCTTCATGTGGCATTGTCTCAAGGCCTTATTCCATCCCGATTGCCTTCCCTGGACTCTTTCTAGATTGTCAATATCCTTCTTAAAATGTGGCACACACAACTCAGCACAGTATTCTGGTTACCATCTAGTACAGTGAGATGATTACCTTCCTTAGTCTGTTCACAACAACAGCCTAAAATCGTGTTAGCTTTGGGGGGGGTGGCGATTTCCTTGTTACTTTTGACTCATAATGAGCTTACAATCCATTGAAACCCCTAAATTTTTACAGACTTCTGTCTAGCTATACCTTCCCTACCTAGTTCATATATCTGTACCTTGATCACATGGAGAGAGAGACTTTTTTTCTCTAAAACCTAAAGTCCAGGTAAACTATAATCTATAGAATTTCCCTGGCGGAAAAGGAAATGAGGTTGGTCTGATATGTTCATAATGAAAACTTGCAGGTTATTTATAACACCACTTCCTTTTCTAGATATTCACAAACCCTCTTTTTAGAAGTATGTTCTAAAAATTTTTCCAGTAATCAGTCAGTCTTAATGGCCCGTAAACACTCTTCTCTTTCCTTTTTGAAAACTAAGACATAGACTTTTTGCTAGCCCTGTAGTACCTCTCTGTCTCTTATTTTCCATGTTCATTTTGATCTTTTTTTCAAGTTTTATTGATGCCTTGTTTTTTACATCATTCACTTCCTGCTATATTCCTTCCCAATTAAACCTGTTATGACAATGGAAAAGAAGTTAAGCGCAACCAATTTAGTTTGATTTGGTAAACATTTATTAAGCACTCTTTCTATGTGTAAGGCATTATGCTAAATAATGGGTATAGAAAGACTGAAGCAAAACAATTCCTGCCTTCAGGGAGTTTTCATGCACACACCTAACTACATGCAAAGTATATGCAGAGTACCACAGTCATTTTAAAGGAGAAAGAATACTTTAAAATGGAGGGATCAGGAATGACCTTTTGTAGGAGTTGGCAAATTGGCATCATGAAGATTTACAAAGGCTTACTTTTCTCCCCACCTCCCTATAAGGTCAGTAGTGCGAATATTGTCTCCATTTTACAAATTAGGAAACTGAAGTACAGACAGGGAACATGGCATACACAACAAGGCTCTTTCCACAGCTTTGTACTGCCTCTAGGTATAACAAGTCAGTGAGTGAACAGGCATCTATAGAGTACCTGCTCTACATATGCCAGGAACTGTAGTAGACATTGGAGATGCAAAATAGCTACAGAAGACAGGAATATATAAAGGTATATACAAAGTAACTATGAGATATCTGGACCCTAAGGTACCAGCAACAGAGTGGATCAGGAAAGGCTTCCTATAGAAGATGGAGCTTAACCTGAGCCATAGAGGTGAGGTGAGGGAGATAGTATGCTATGTATCAAGAAAAATGAGGAGTCTAGTTTGGCTGAATTATACAATGTGGGGAGGGGAGTAATATATGATAAGTTTGGAAAGGTAGGTTGGAGGCAGGTTGCAAAGTGTTATAAATGCCAAATAGAGTATTATATATTTGATCCTAGGGGTAATGGGCCCTAAAATACATTAAATACAGGAGTGACATGGTCAGACTCATAGCTTAGGAAAATCATTTCAGTAGGTGGCTGTGTGGATAATGGGGGAGACTTGAGGCAGGGAGACCAATTTTGAGACTATTGTGATGAGGGCCTAAGCTAGGGTGGTGGCTATGAATGGAGATCAACAGGTGGCTATGAGAAAAGTGAAACTAGAAACAATAAGGTTTGGCAACTAGTTGGATGTGTGGGTCAAGAAACGTCAAGCCCTGAAGCAGGGAGATGAATTAAGAGAGTTTCAATAGTCCAGGCTAGGCATAATGAGAACCTGAAGAGTGGTGCTGGCTGTGTGATTGGAGGGAAGAGGACATATCTGAGAGATGTTGTGGAAAAAGAAATGACAATATTTGGCAACTGATTAAATATGTGGGGTGAGTGAGAGTAAAAAGTAGAAAATGACTTTGAGGTTGTGAATCTGGAGAACTGTAAGGATGGTGGTGCCCATGACAGAACAGCAAAGTTCTAAAAAGACATGCATTAGAAGGAAAAAGCTAATGAGTTCAGTCTTGGATGTTGAGTTTGCCTCTCCTGCCTCTCCTCATTTCCTGTCCTTTTCTCAGTCCTCATCTTTTATAACTATTTGACATGATTGACAACCTCCTGGGTACTATTTTCTCTCTGGGTTTTTGTGTAATGCTCCTCTTTTTACCTGCCTTGCTGCTCTTCCGTTTCCTTTGGATCTTCATCCGTGTCAGGCCTTCAAAGTATTGTGTGTGTCCCAAGCCGTCTACCCTAACAAGGCCCTCTTTTCTTGCTATACCATCTCACTTAGGAATCTCATCAATTCCTCTAGGTTCAATTATCATCTCAGTGCAGATGATTCTCAGATCCATTAATTCAGCCTCATGCTCTCTCCTGAGCCCCCAACTCACATTATCATTGCCTCAGGGATTTTTCAACCTGGATGTCCTGTAGGAATTTCAAGCTCAACATGTTAACAAACATGTTAAAGAAAATCCTAATTATCACTGTCCCCAAACTCACCCCTTTTATGAACTTCCCTCTTTCTATCAAAGGCACTTCTATCCTTCCAGCCTCCTAGACTTACAGCCCTGGTTCATCCTCAGTTTCTCACTCTCACCCCATATACCCAGGCAGTTGCCAGAGCTTTTCGTTTCTTTCCCCACAGCTTTTCTTCCCTCCACTTACACAGCTTCCACCTCAGTTCCAGTCCTTATCACTTTCTTGCCTGAACTGTTGTAATCATCTCATAATTGGTCACCTTGCTTGAAGTCTTTCCTCATTCTGGTCCATCTTTCATAAATCTGCAGTGATTTTGCTGAAATGTAGATCTGAATGTGTCACCACGCCTACTCAATAAATTCCATCGATTTTCTCTTACCTCTAGGATCAAATTTAAACTGCTCTGTCATTTAAAGTTCTTCATAGCCATATCTGTTTCTCATTCAAAGCCCAACCTAGCTAAATTTCAAGAGGCCCCTCACCAGATAGTGATCCAACAAAGGACACTGAGAAGACCAGCCAGATAGTTAGGAGAGCAGTGTCAGGAAAGCTGGGAGAGAAGAGCCTCTCCAGGAGAAGGGTGTGAGCAGTGCCAAGTGCCACAGAGAAGTTGAGGTTGAGAAGGACTGAAAATGGAGAGAGGAATCTTGGTCAATGCGTGAAGCAAAGGAGCGAGAGGTGAGATCCTTTTTTTGCTCTCTGTGTAACCCTTTTTAACGAACAGAGTACCGTCATCTTGGTATGAAGATGACCTGGAACTTATAAAGGATTTTTTACTACTAGTAGGCCCTACCAAGCTAGGAAAGCCCCTTGTACATTCACAGCTCTAATATTTATCATTCAAAGTCCAGCCTAGCTCACGTGTCAAGAGACCCCCCCTGATGAATGTTTGAGGGGCCACAACAATTTACAAAAAACTTTCTACTAAGGCACAGAGGAGCTAGAATCTGTTTTAGTACAGGAGAGACTCATACTGTGAAGTGTCCAAAAGCTGTGGGCACCCCATCTCCCTATGTAGATCATCTCTATCCCAAACTGCCATTATTATATAGGCTGCTGATAATAATAGCTCGCTGTCATTTATATAATGCCTTACAGTTTCCTAAAGCACTTTGTCTGTATCTCTCCTGTGTTCCTGAGCTAATCTTCATCTCATCCCCTACCTCATGCCTTCTTTTATCAGGGCACAATAATTACAAAGGGATGTTTATTTGCATGTTCCTGAGTTGTATTAAAAAATGTCAAATTAGAGGTCTACATATTCAGTTTGCAAAAGCATTCATTAGGTAATGCATTTATTTTGCTATCCCAGTTAGGGTTTTATAAATGTTAAATTGGTTTCCCAACTAAATGATAAAATCCCTTAAGGCAAGGACTGATAACTGCATGTAGGTGGTTAGACCACAATTTATGTAAATAAGACCCCAGAAGCTTCAGTGACTGGAAGCTAAGTGAGGCAGTAGTGTGGGAACCAAAAAAAACCTCATCATGTTCATAAGCTGCATTAATAGAAGCATAGCGTCCAGAGCAAGGGTGGTATAATATTCCCTACTGTTAGTTACTATTCCTTAATACAACCCCTCTGGAGTTTTGTGCCAACTCTGGGTGCCACATTTTAGGAGGATCATTGACAAAATAGAGAATGTCTGCAAGGAGATAGCCTCAATAAAAGCTCACTACATCATGGGGAGTGGGGGGAAGAAGAGAGCTGGAACTGAGTTAGCCTTGGGAACTGAAATTGCTCTACCTTCAGATAGTTCAAAGTCTGTCATGTGAAAGGAAGAATTAGACATTCTGATTGGCCCTGAAGCACAGAACTAGGATCAAAGAAAAAACATTACTACAGTGAGACAGATTTCAGTTCTATATAAAGAAGAACTTCCTGACAATTAGAACTGTACAACCATGAAAAGAACTGTCTCTGTAGGTGGAGAGTTCCCTTTCATGAAAACTGTTAAAGCAGAGGTCAAGTGAAAGGCTGGAATGAGATAACAATATC